CCCCTTTAAATTGTGCAAGTTGTGCATACCTGTTCCTTTAAATAACCCAAGTTGGGTGCCCTTCCCATTAAATAGTGAAGGTTAGAAGTCAGAAATAGTAGGAGCTGCCGATGGTGGAGGATCTGAGATAACAAGCTGTAGAGCTGGATGAACACAGCAGGCCAAGCAGCATCAGAGGAGCAGGAAAGCTGACTTTTTTCGGGTCTGGACCCTTCTTCAGAAATGGGGGAAGGGAAGGGGATTCTGAAATAAATAGAGAGAGAGGGGCAGGCGAATGGAAGATGGGTAAAGGAGGAGATAGGTGGAGAGGAGATGGACAGGTCAAGGAGGCGGGGATGGAACCAGTAAAGGTGAGTGTAGGTGAGGAGTTAGGATGGGAGTTGGTCAGTCAAGGGAAGATGGACAGTTTGAGGAGGCTGGGATGAGGTTGGTAGTATGGGGTGGGGGTTGAGGTGGGAGGAGCAGATAGGTGGGAGAAAGGACGGATAGGTTAGGGAGGCAGGGACGAGCTGGGCTGGTTTTGGGATGCGGTCGGGAGTGGGGAGATTTTGAAGCTTGTGAAGTCCACATTGATACCATTGGGCTGCAGGGTTCCCAAGTGAAATATGAGTTGCTGTTCCTGCAACCTTCGGGTGGCATCATTGTGGCACTGGAGGAGGCCCAGGATGGACATGTCGTCTGAGGAATGGGAGGGGGAGTTGAAATGGCTCGTGACTGGGAGGTGCAGTTGTTTACTGCAAACCGAGCTTAGGTGTTCTGCAAAGCGGTCCCCAAGCCTCCGCTTGGTTTCCCCGATGTAGAGGAAGCCACACCGGGTACAGCGGATGCAGTATACCACATTGGCAGATGTGCAGGTGAACATTTGTTTAGTGTGGAAGGGTTGCTTGGGGCCTGGGATGGGGGTGAGGGGGGAGGTGTAGGAGCAGGTGTAGCACTTGCTTCGGTTGCAGGGAAAAGTGCCAGGGGTGGTGGGGCTGTTGGGGAGTGTGGAGTGGACAAGGGAGTCACGGAGAGAGTGGTCCCTCCGGAAGGCAGATAAGGATGGGGAGGGAAAAATGTCCTTGGCAGTGGGGTCAGATTGCAAGTGGCGGAGGATAATGCGTTGGATCCGGAGGTTAGTGGGGTGGTACATGAGGACGAGGGGGATTCTGTTTTTGTTGTTGTTGCGGGGAGGGGGTGTGAGGGATGAGTTGCAGGAAACGCGAGAGATGCGGTCGAGGGCATTTTCGACCACTGTGGAGGGGAAGTTGCGCTCCTTGAAAAACAAGGACATCTGGTATGTCCGGGACTGGAATCCCTTATCTCGGGAGCAGATGCTCTCACCCACCTTCCTGCAAAAATGCCATCCCCTGTTCCCAATTCCTTCGCCTCCGCCGCATCTGCTCCCGAGATGAGACATTCTACTCCCGGACATACCAGGTGTCCTCGTTTGTCAAGGACCCCAACTTCCCCTCCACAGTGGTCAAAAATGCCCTTGGCCGCATCTCTCACGTTTCCCGCAACTCATCTCTCACACCGCCTCCCCGCAATAACAACAAAAACACAATCCCCCTCGTCCCCATGTACCACCCCACTAACCTCCAGATCCAACGCATCATCTTCCGCCACCTGCAATCTGACCCCACTACCAAGAACATTTTTCCCTCCCCACCCTTATCTGCCTTCCAGAGGGACCGCTCTCTCCGTGACTCTCTTGTCCGCTCCACACTCCCCACCAGCCCCACCACCCTTGGCACTTTTCCCTGCGACCGCAGGAAGTGCTACACCTGCCGCTACACCTCCCCCCTCACCGCCATCCTAGGCCCCAAAAAAACCTTCCACATCAAACAGATGTTCACCTGCACATCTGCTAATGTGGTATACTGTATTCGCTGTTCCCGTTGTGGCCTCCTCTACATCGGGGAAACCAAGCAGAGGCTTGGGGACAGCTTTGTGGAACACCTACGCTCAGTTCATGACAAACAACTGCACCTCCCAGTCGCAAACCACTTCAAATCCCCCTCCCACTCCTTGGACGACATGTCCATCCTGGGCCTCCAGTGCCACAACGACGCCACCGGAAGGTTTCAGGAACAGCATCTCATTTCGCTTGGGAACCCTGCAGCCCAATGATCTCAATGTGGACTTTACTAGCTTCAAAATCTCCCCTCCCCCACCTCATCCCAAGACCAGCCCAGCTCATCCCCACCTCCCTAACCTGTCCGTCTTTTCTCCCACTTATTCGCTCCTCCCACCTCAACCCCCACCCCAACCTCATACCTACCAGCCTTATCCCTGTCTCTTGACCTGTCTGTCTTCCATTGACTGACCAACTCCCATCCTAACTCCCCACCTACACTCACCTTTACTGGTTCCATCCCCGCCTCCTTGACATGTCCGTATCCTCTCCACCTATCTGCTCCTTTATCCATCTTCCATCTGCCTCCCTGTCTCTCTCTATTTATTTCAGAATCCCCTTCCCTTCCCCCATTTCTGAAGAAGGGTCCAGACCCGAAAAGTCAGCTTTCCTGCTCCTCTGATGCTGCTTGGCCTGCTGTGTTCATCCAGCTCTACGCCTTGTTATCTCAGGTTAGAAGTCTGTCCCTTTAAATAACATAATTTAGATCCCTGTCCCTTTAAATAGCACGTGATTGATGTCTGTCCCTTTAAATAGTGCATGTTAGGTTCTTGTCCCTTCAAATAGCACACATTAGATGTCTGTCCCTTTAACAAGCGCAAGTTACATGACCTTTTAAATAGGCATTGTTCCTGTCATTGTTTCTCAGATCTCCAGCATCTGCAATTCTTTGCTTTCTTTGTGTATTCCATACAATGTTTATCAAGAACAAAAGAATCTTCCTCTGTTAAAGACCAGCTAGTGATACGGGGGACTGAACAGTCACAAATTGCTAGACAAAGCAGCCTGTAACAGTGCAGTGTGTAGTCACTTCATGCCCAGGAGATAAAAGAGAATTTCTGTCTAGAAGCTTGGGACCAGCACATGGCATTACAGACTCCAGCCCCCAGCGTCTCTATCAAATCCAGACTCTACCAGTGCAAATCGATCCAATCAGCAAGATGTTTTCCAGAAACATTGCTGGTCACAGTGTTGAAGGCGACCCCTCAGCTCATTGAGTTTAGCTGGCTTCTGTGCAAGAACAATCCAAAACAAATGGCGCTGTCTTTCTCTCTCCCTGAGCCCCGTATTATTCCCAAATCAATCGCATGACCCGTTCTCTTACTCTCCATGCTCCCCCACCTCGGCATCACCTTAAACACAAGCTGGCTTTTCTGTCTCTAAATCTCTTTATCAATCCAAAACTAATCACGTGCCCTGCCCTCTCCCCTGTTTATTTCTGTAATTTAACAAATGCCATGGTTTTTTCCAACCACTTGCTGCATGTATTCCATGTTCCAGTGGCTGTTTATGGAAGGAACTTTAGTCCATTGAATAAATGTCGATACAGTCCCAAGGCATGAATGGCCTACTTCTGCCCTTATCTCCTCTGGTCTTATGCTCTACTTTCTCAAACTGTACAGCTCGTAAACAAAGATTTTCACTTTATTTTGGTACATGTGACAATAAAGCCAAAATCAAAATCAAAATCAAAAAAATTTAACTTGTGACCTCTTTTCAGTAACTCCCTTATGGATGAATATAATCACACTATTCATTCAAACAAAACCTTTCATTGGCTTCATTAATAGGGGCATTTAGTACAAGAGCAGGGAGATGATTTTGCATTTATACAAAACACTTGTTAGACGTCAGCTGGAGTATTGTGTAGAGTTGTGGGGATCACACTGTAGGAAAGATGTGAATGCCTTGGACAGAGTGCAGAAATGATTTACAACAATGGTTCAAACAATGAGAAACTTCAGTGATGAGGATAGAATGAAGAAGTTGGGACTGCTCTTGGACAGAAGAAGGTTGAGGAGATCTGACAGGTTTTCAAAATCATGAGAAGGCTGGGTGCGCAGGTAGGAAGAAATGGTTCCTGCTTGTAAAAGGAACAGGAACAAAACGGCATAGATTTAAAACAATCTCCAAAGAAAGCAAGGGTTAAGTGAGGAAAATCTTTTTCACAGCGTGTCATTCGGGTGTGGAATGCACTGTCTGGAACTGTGGCAAAGGCAAGTTCAATTGAGGCATTCAAGAGGGACATTGGATGGTCAACTGTTTAAAAGTAATGTGCAAGAATTGGGGGAATATGTAAGAGATCGGCACTCTGCAAAGACGCTCATTTAATGAGTCTGTGCAGGCAAGATGGGCTGAATGGCTTCCTTCTGTACTGTCGCGATTCTGTCAGTCTGTTAAACCTCTTATTAGTCAAGATACAAGCTACCAGATTGTGGCTCATCTGAAGTGAAAGGGTAAGGTACATCAAAGTGGAGCAACTGGGTGATGCTAACATTTAATTTTAAATGTCCGTGGCTTGCAGCAGAAAAAGGATTGTAGGAACAAAGAGAACAAGAGAAGCAATGAGTTTGCTTTTAGTAAGGAGGAAACTTAAAAATTCTTTGAAATTCTATATTTTCATCCTTGTTTTCAAATCCCTCCAAACTTCACTCATCCCTAACCCTAACTACGACCCTCTGAGATCTCTTCCAATTCTGGCCCCTTGTGCATTCCTGAGTTAAATCACTCCATCATTACAGGCCACACCATCAGCTGCCTGGGGCCTTAAACACTGGAATTCTCTCCCTAAACCCCTTGGTCTATCTTCCTCTCAGATGTTCTTTTAAAATCTCTCTCGACCAACCATTTGTGTACTTATCCCAATAAGGATGTGTCTCAGTGTCTGATAATGTTCCCATCAGGCTCACTTGGAACATTGTACTGCATTAAAGGTGTTGTATAAATGCTGCCATTGTTGGAAGACATTTGGAAATTCTTCTTCAGATCTGGGCAGAGTTGGCATGTGGTAGGCTGGCACTGTAAGCCTGATAACCACCAGGTTGAGAGCTTACCCAAGCACAGCCAAAAGGTCAGTAAATAGGGAGCCAGCATGTACTCCTACCTTTAACGTACCGCACCTCATGAAATATGCTTGCTGATCCAAAGTCAATCACTTTCACACGGAAGGGGAATCGCTTCTGGTCAATGATCATGATATTCTCTGGTTTGAGGTCAGCATGGATGATTGATAGGTCTTTAAGTTTCTGGAGTGCCCTCAGGACCTGGGTGGTAATTGTCCGTATGTGCCTGGCTGGGAGGAGGGCAAAGTTGTTCTCCTTCTGGAACTCAAATATGTTCTGTTCCATGAGCTCAAACACCAAGTATGACTTTACATCATCATGGAAACATTCGTAGAATCGGATGAAGTGGTATTGGTCAGGGTCCACTGACCCCAGCACTCTTAACATTTTTAATTCGTTTTTGATGATACGAGCTCTATATGAGTCACTTTTGAGGATCTTGATGGCAACAAAATGGCCGGTGCTCCTCTTCCAGCACTTTGCCACCTCACCAAACGTCCCTTTGCCCAGAATCTGAATAATGTCATAGGTGTCTGTTTCAGAATGGATGACAGACATTTTCAGTGGTCTTCTGGCCTTCGCCCTCTGCCTCAGTAGAAGATCAGCCAACTGGTATCTAACAATAGAAGCTTTAGGGTGTAATAATGGGGCCATTGTTACCAAGCCAGGTTCTAGGGGCCTTTGCCCAAGGATCCCAGAGCCTGAGGAAGATCTACATAGGCATGGATCAAGATTGGCATCACCTCCGACATCAACTCTAGTCAGAGTTACATCCCCATCTCATAATGTCTCTGTGGAGAGTATCTCTTTTGAAATAACCGCTAGTGAATTTCACTTACAGTCAGCTCGATCAAACTGGTGCAGCAGTGCCATGTGTTCAACAGATCATTCCTGCTGTCACTGAGCAGGGCTATGGAGGACCGAGGGTACATATTCCTTACACTGAGGTAAAAAGGTTGACCTACTTACTCGAGACATGTTTTGTGGGAAGACTAACCACTCCTGAATGATACACATCGTTATCAATGTCTATATCAGCCAAACACGTGGTGAGGAAGAGATAGGCTGGGAATTATCAATTTCCACTCATCAGAATATTTCTACCATTCTGAACATTAGTTTCATTAACCTGGCATCATAGTATTCTTCATCAATCTGCCCCTTTGCAAATTATTTGTCCATGAAAGCTCCCACAGCACATTTAATCTAGTAATTAGTCGCATAAGAAACCTTTTATCAGTGTAAACATTGTTTATGACATTTGATTAACCTCCCTTGCCCAGAAAGCAAATAATTGAGTATTGCAATACTGGCCAGTCAGACTTTGTATATGGTTTATGTTCCTCTGGAGCTTCCTCCCACCCTGCCTCTCTTCCCAGAATCACATCTGTGATTCAGAAATCAGATTTCACCCAAAAGGTGGTGGGAGTCTGAAACGCACCTGAGCCTGGTCCCTGAAAGGGTAGTTGAAGTGGGAAACCCCACAGCCTTTAGAAAGTACATGGAAGAATACTTGAAGTATCATCACAGTCAAGGTTAAGGACTAGAAGGACTGGTATAGATAGGTTCGTGCAGACTTGATGGGCTGAAGGGTTTCTTCTGTGCTGTATGAATCTATGACTCTCTGACCCCAATCTAACAGGATCAGGCATGTCGACACTGGGCGAGAGCAGAATTGAACATGATGCCACTGTGGTGGAACAGTCCGTAGGACTTCTTTCTCTAGACTGGGGGAGGTTTGGTGAATTGTTTGAGGTTTTGTGTCTGTGGAACGTATATCCCAGCTACAGCCAGCATTAAAGGTGAGGGGTCGGGGAATAATGAGGGACACAGATAGGTATTAAATGTTTGAGGGGCAGGTGTCCACTTTGCCAAGGACAGAGGCCCTGCTCCCCGGTCAGGGCACAGTGCCTCCAGGCAAAATGCTTTCTCAGCCAAATCCTACTACAATTAAACATCACCGACTGGAGCTAATTATAGCTGCACTTGCATTGACAGAGCCTTTCCTGCTTGATCTCAGTCACAATAAAGACTCCTGAGAATAGGCAGGATGGAAGCTCCTCAACAATGACTTCATTTTGAATCTGGCAGCATGAGATCCCAAACTCAAAATAATTCATTATGTGTCTGTGAGAGACTTCTGAACTTTGTTTTCCTTGTGTTGATGCAGTTCAGACAACTTGGCAAAAATAAACTCTCACTTTACAACGAAATCTGCTTCCGCCAGGGCCACTCAACTCCTGACCTCAATACAGTCTTGGTTTAAACATGGACAGAAGAGCTGAATTCCAGAGGGGAGGTGAGAGTGACAGCCCTTGATATCAAGGCCGCATTTGACTGAATATGGCATCAAGGAGCCCTAGCAAAACTGGATTCAATGGATATTAGGCGGCAAACTCTCCGCTGGTTGGACTTAAAGCTGACACATAGGAAGATGGTCGTGGTTATTGGAGGTCAGTCATCTCAGCTCCTGGACATCCCTGCAGGAGTTCCTTAGGGTAGTGTCCTAGGTCCAAACATCTTCATCAATGACTTTTCCTCTAACATAAGGTCAGAAGTTGGGATGTTCACTGATGATTGCATAATGTTCAGCACCAATTGTGACTCCTCAGGCACTGAAGCAGTCCGTGTTCAAATAGAACAAGATCTGGAGAATATCCAACCTGGGCTCAAAAATGACAAGGATCATACAGACTACACAAATGCCAGACAATGACCACAAGTGACAATCTAACCATTGCCCCTTGACATTCAATAGTGTTACCATCACTGAATCACCCACATGAACATCCTGGAGGTCATCATTGACCAGAAACTGAACTAGACCAGCCATATAAATACAGTTAGTACAAGAGCAGGCCAGAGATTGGGAATAACTCACCTTCTGACTCTCCAAAGTCTGTTCACCATCTACAAGCCTTAAATGAGGAGTGATGGGATACTTCCCACTTGCCTGGATGAGTAAAGCTCCAACAATACTCAAGAAACTTGACACCATTCAGGACAAAGCAGTCCACTTGGTCAACTCCTCATTAACCACAATAAATATTCACTCTCTCCTCCACCGGATGCTCAGGAGCAGCAGCATGTGCTACCTACATGACGCACAACATAGAGCCAAGCTGCCACAGAAAACATCGTGGAGCAGACCACCGGTTTGCTGAAACAACCATTCCACTGTCTGGCTAAACTGGAGGGACCCTGCAGTACTCGACAGAGCATGTGTCCTGATTTATGGCATTCTGCTTCGTACCACAGCATTCCTGATGGCTATTTTTGGATGTAACCCCTCACTTGGACATCACTCGCTCAACAATTCAAAGTGTGCTAGCTACAATAACAAGCAATATCAGATAGGCAGTCAAACATGGAATCTGGCTTGTTTACATTTGTTGAAAATGACATACTCTACAACATTAAAAAAAAAATGGCCAGGCCTTGCCCCTCTCTTGAATTACCTAGAAACTGAGGAAGACAATAAATTGCCTTTTCCTTGGCAACACATCGGCCAATTGGAATTCAATTCCCACACATTCAGCCACCTCCTGTAGCAAACATTGTTGCAAATGTTTAAAATTTGGCATTCTTGCATTTGTCCTGATGAGTGTTAGATGAAAAACTTTGGCACTGTGTCTCTGCTTTCAGCAATATTCAAGTGGTTTATTGAAGTGTCAGCCTTTACTTCAACGAAGTGAGAGTATAAAGGGGTGCTGGTCAGAGCCTGTCTGGGTTCATTTCTAGACCTTGCATTCAGGAAGGATATTACAGTCCAGAGGGAGGCCATTTGGCCCATCCTGACTGTGCTGACATAGCAATTCACCTCATCCTCTCTCCCCATCTTCTCCCCTCTTTTCCTTTTCAGATTGTAATCTAATTCTCCAACACACTGGCCTTGGAAGAGTAGAGCACACAGTGACCAGAACAATCCCATAACCAAAAGGGTTACTTTATGAAGACAAGTTGCAGATTGTATTGCATTGTGCGTAGATACTTAAGAGTGATCGAATTGAGGTAAGTAAATGAAGTTAGGACACAAATTAGACATGATTTGAACTAGTGATAGAATGCATTGAAGGGACTGAATGGCCTCCTCCTCATTCTATGTTCTTTAGCTTGATTCCTTGGCTGGGAGTTGGTGATTGCTGTGTATGTTCCAATAGTCTTTTCAATTCAAACACGTCCAATTTCAAAATAAGCACAATGAAGTGATAAACACAGGAAATTTCCAACAGGAAGATACCAGTTATTTCAACAAGTCCACTCCTGTTTGATTGATGTCAGTCCCAAGTATTCCCTTTCACTTCCAATCCATTCTTCCCTGTTTTAACAAGTTAAAGACTGTTTTAAAAAAATACCAGCGCACACAAATTTCACCCTTTTCTCTGCAACGGAGGGTGCAGAGACACAAAGAGATGAGGAACAAGAACTTATTGTTCATTAGTCAGACACCTTGGCCACAGCCTGTGTGCAGCTGTCAACTGAACAATGTCCGGCATCAAAGAAACAGTGAGGGTATTTCCTGAACCACAAGGTTGGAACAAGTCAACATTCACATTTCCTGAGTTTTATATGTATATACTCGGAGAAAATGTCCCCTGTTCCTGATTTCTCTGAGATGGTGCCCCTGCCATGGGTGATTTTGGTGGGAATTAGAATGAAACAGCAGAAAGTGGACCCAGGCTGAGCAGTGCACCGCGAGAGACAAACAGCAAAGTGTTGAGAGGAGGGATTGGAGTGGAAAAATTCTTAGGCCGGTTTGGATTATATTTGCATAAATACACAGAGGGGAGCAAAAAGGGCTGGTCTGTAAACATATATTTCCACTTTGGTTTAGGATATAGGAACTGTGTCGCTGTGAGTAACTCACCTTCTGATTCCATAAAGTCTTTCCATCAAATACCAGGCACAAGTCAGGAGTGTAATAACAATATGGACTTGTATTTATATAGTGCCCTTTATAAAGATGTTTCAAAGCTCCTTGCAGCCAATTACGTACTTTTGAAAAGTCATGTTTGCAATGTAGCTAATGAGGCAGTCAGTCTGTGCACATGTAAGCTCCTAAAATCAATATTGTGATGATGACCAGATCATCTCTGCTGGAATAATCCCCACTTGCCTGGATGAGCTCAACTCCAAGATCACTCAAGAAACTCAACACTGTTCAGGACAAAGCAGCCTCTCTTGATCAGCACTTGAAACATTCACTTCCCCCACCACTGACACTCGAGCAGCAGTGTGTACCGTCCACAAGATGCACAGCAGCAACTCATCAAAGGTCCTTAGGCAGCACCTTCCAAAATAACAATCATTCTCATTTAGAAGGATAATGGTTGTGGATATGCGTGGGAACACCATCCCCTGCAAGTTCCCCTCCAAGCCGTTCAACATCTTGACTTGGAAATATAACCCCATTCCTTTGCTGTTGAATCAAAATCCTGAAATTCCCTCCCTGCGGGCACTGTGGGTGTCCCTACAGCACATAGAAATATAGTGGTTCGAGAAAGCAACTCACCACCAGTTCTCATAGAATCATAGAATTCTAATGGCAACTATGGATG